AAATGTGCTACATGTTGGTGGATTTTGGACCATTGCTGAAAGGTTTTCAAATTGTGAACTCTTTTCAAACAACGAATTTCAAATATGGAGAATAAATTAATCTACTCATTTGATAGACTGACCCTAAGAGGTGTATTTTGCTCAGAGCCTTAACTAAAGCAGATGTCAAAAGATTGTCATGGAAGCATTAGAACTTCTTTTAATCAAGTCACCACTGCTATGTAATGACTCCCACAATAGGTTTGCACAGTACACTACATGTTATTGGAACACTGCTGAGACAACAGAAATGCTTAATGCCGTGCTGGGACAGCAAAAATCTAAGACATCAATTGGCCTGTTGTATGTCCCTTGGTACTGTATACGTGTGAAGGTTTCCTTGATGCCAAGGAGAATGTGCAGAACCTCAAGCTTCCTGCTTTAATTTTCCCTCTTGTATGGGATTAATTCACTGTGACTTCAGGACAAGGGCCTTTGTCAGGCGTACACACAGAAAGGTTTGTTAGGATATCCAAACCCATGGAGTGTTGGAGGGTCCTCCCAGAATTGTTGCTGAGTCCTTTTCTCTTCTACATGCTCACATTTCAGAGGTAAAGCCCGTCTCCCAGGACTTTGCTGGTAGTAATAAGAGATTATAGACACAATATGAAATGCTGCTAAAGTACAGTCCCCTTCAAGAGTTACCATAACCAGAAAGTGGTGGAGACGATCTGAACAGGAATCAAAAAGTCAGGTGTCTGCGACTGTGAATAGTGCTCAGACTTACATTCAAATGTCTTGCTTGAGATCTGTACATTCTGTTAAACCACTGACTTGTTTTCCCAGTACTTCTGATAATGAAGAGAGGAGTTAATACAGTTCTTTCTGGCTGACTCTCTCCTGCATAGCCCAGAGAAGCTGGACAAACTCCCTCCAGTGTTCTCTAATCCCCAATCGACCCACACAGGCTCTGCAGAACCCGTTCCTCCCTGCTTCCTCTTGAAGGTCTTCTTGCCTTGTGGAAGAAAAGGGCTCTTGGCCTGTCCAAGGCCATCCCTGCTTCTCTCCCTCCTCCATAGTTTTTCCCAGTTTCTTCATTTCCTTCTGCCTTCAAACATGCCCAAATTTCCTCCCTCCCAGAAGGTGAAAGGCAAAAGCACAACTTTTGTCTTTCCCAACTGCTTCTTTCCTTCCTGCAGGCGAGCTCTGCAGCTCTCTCAGGGTCTGGCCTCTGCCACAATAACCATTCCTGCCTCCGTGAAGTCTGGACTAACTCCTCCCTGCCCTTCAGAATCAGTAATGACTGTTGTCAAATCCACTGCCCTTGTTCCTGCCTTGACCTTTTGGTATCAATTAAAGGAATAATCTCGTGTATTCTCAAGTACCCAGGCCCACAGCCTGAGTTACAGCTCTACTTCCCCAATACCTTTCTGAAAGTCAGCTAGCCCCTATGTCATGTTCTCGCCATTCTCATCTCTAACTGCGGACATTCCAGAGTGTGGTCTTTGGCCTCTCTTTCCTTTTGTCTCATTCCTGGCACTTTCATCTGTTCTCACAGCCCCAGTTCTTACCAAATTGAGATGGCCCCCAGTTCTTTATCTCTAGCCATGAGCTGCAGTTTGCAAAACTCTGCCAAGTTGACATTTCCTCTATTCCACATATTGAAAATACCTAAACCTACATTCATCACCTTGCTTCACAACTTCCCCAAACCATTTCCTCCTCTCATAAAATGTCCTTATTTTAGTGATAGTTACCTAAAACCTGGAACATCCCTAACTACTCCAATTCCCAGTGACCCCTTAGTCCATAGGTTGCCTTAGGATACCACCCCAAACAAGCTAACCCATGGGGAAGCCCCAGCTAGAATTCAGACCCCTGGGAGCATTTGGGAGTATGGCTCATCCACCTGCACCCCAGCAAATCTGGTAGTTCAACATCCACACACACATACACACACCAAAATTCAATTTCCTTCTCCAGCTATTTGGTGTCGGTTAGACTTTCCTTAGTCTACAAGAGTTTTCACTCTGCCTCAAATGAGAACAGAAACACAAACATATTTCTGCATGGAAACAAACTATGCCTAAAACAGGCCACAAGAGACACAACAGCAAGCATCAATGCACAAAGAGTGAAAACACAGAAATAAAGAGAAATGAGCAGACATCAATTCCTTTTACAATAGAACAAAAGAGAAAACGGAAATGCATATACTTAACCTCCTGGGGTGAATTTTTCTAACATTTGAAAGATACAACATAATTCCAACAACAACAATAAAAAGGAAGCAAAATGTGGATCGTTTTCAAGCTTGGTGATAATATACTGGGTTTGTACACCATCCTCTATATTCCTGGATATGTTTGGAAATTTTCAAAGTAAAAATCGCCTTATCTCCACCTGCTGTCAGATCAACAGCACTTTAGATTCTTACAGGAGCACAAACCCTGTTGTGCACTGCACATGCGTGGGATCTAGGTTGCACACTCCTTGGGAGAGTTTAACGACTGCTTATTTGAGGTGAAGCTGAGTGAAGCAGTGATACTAGTGCTGGGGAGCAGCTGCAAATACAGATTAGCATGAGCGGTGAGGTTTTACTGCACAGAATTCATCATAAATCAATTGCGTGCAGACTCACATCAAAAACCCTGTCAGTGGCTGGGCGCAGTGGCTTATACCTAAAATCCTAGCACTTTGAGAGGCCAAGGTGAGAGGATTGCCTGAGCCCACGGGTTCAAGACCAGCCTGGGCAACTTGGAGAAACCTCATCTCTACAATAAATCAAGAAAAATGAGCCGAGGACGGTGGTGCATGCCTGTAGTTCCAGCAAGCTGGAAGGTTGGGGCAGGCAGATCGCCTGAGCCCAGCAGGTTGAAGCTGTGGCCCTGAGTGTGCCACTGTACTCCAGCCTGAGAAACAGAGTGAGACTCCAACTCAAAAGGAAAAAAAATCCTGTCAGTGAGTGGCAAGTGAGTTGATGCACTTCAACTGCACAGCTGCATCTAGCGGCAGGCTTTAAGTCCAAATCCAACACTTACTTTACTTAATGCGTGGCCTGCCCCTTATTTTATCTACCATTTTATCCATGCCTCTTTTTTATGATGAGTTGTGTAATTATTTCATTATATATTACAATGTAATAACAAAAGAAATGAAGCACACAATAAATACTATGCACTTGAATCAACCCCAAACCACCCTCCCCCAAGCCCAGTCCATGGAAAAGTTGTCTTCCATGAAACCAGTCCCTGACGCCAAAAAGGTTGAGGGCCACTGCCTTAGTTCATTATCTTCGTTATATTCAATTGGCTCATTCTTCCCCATTTATCACCCTAGCTCTGTCCTTTAGTGCTTAAGCCTGGGTTATTGCATTAGCCCTTGTGCAGACCTTTCTCTCTCCAACATCTCTCTTCTCCACCCTAATCCACTCACCATGACCAGACTAATTTTCCCAATCGATGCCTCCACCATGACACTGTAATCAAATCCTTGTGCCTGCAAGATAAAATTGGAAACCCTTTGCCTGATATTTGAGATCCATTATCTGGTACAACCATTCCTCTACGTGAATCTTTCTGCCTCCCTCCCCAGACCACGGGAAGCACACCAGGAGCAGGTCTGCTTGGTGCTTTGTTCATACTGCAGCCACGACACATTCTTCCAGCTGGGCAAGAGCCAAGACTGGCTGGCCTAGGACTTGGAATTAGAAATAGGAGAGGCAGGAATGTTGACACAGGTTCATTTGGATGACTTTGGTGGTTTTTTTTTTTTTTTGAGTCAGAGTCTCACTGTCGCCCAGACTGGAGTGCAGTGGCCGCTCCCGGCCACCGCAGCCTCGCCTGCTGGGCTCCGGCGATCCTTCCGCCTCAGCCTTCCGAGTAGCCGGAATGACAGGCATGCGCTACCACGCCCGGCTGATTTTTTGATTTATTGTAGAGATGAGGTCTCGCTGCCCAGGCGGGTCTCGAACCCGCGGGCTCAGGCAATCCACTCACCTCAGCCTCCCAAGGGCGCGGGATTACAGGCTGAGCCATTGAGCGCGGCTGGATGACTTTGAAAGTGCAAGTTTACATCTGAGTAAAGTTTTTCCTCATGAAGCATCTCACACCAGCAAGGGGTGAGACTCCAGGAGGGATATGATTATCAGTACAGCCTGTGGCCTTCAGGAATAGAATCAAACTGGTTGTATGAGATATGTAAGTAAATAATTCAATTCAAAATGGTGTGGAACTTGTTTAATGGGTATAGAGCTCCATTTAAAAATGGTCACCATAGTAGATTTTATGCTATACATATTTTAACATAATTTAAAATAAAAATTAAATGTAAAACATTGTGGGGCTCAAAAGGAGCCCCAAGACCATCAGTGGAGGTGGTTACTGAGTTGAGCCCAGAAATATAGGTGGGACAGTGACAATAGCACCTCTCTCTGTTCTGAGCCTTTCACGTACATTAACTTGGCTAATCTTCACTGAACCCTATCAGGTAGATTTCATTATCTTTTCCAGTCTGACTCTGGAACCCAAGAGAAAAGCAGAATGCTTTGGTCTACCTCACTGCTTAAAAAAAAAAAAAATCAGATGCTAAAATATTCCAAAAAATGTCCAAATCAAGAGAAGAGAAATAAGTAAATGTAGTTTTCTGTATTCAATTTTATTCATATGGTGAGGTGTTCTTTATAGCTTTAAATTGTGCCCAGAAAAGTTCAACAAAGTAATGACCATCTTACAAATGTTTATAAATGTGTAATTATGATACTCATCTTTTGAATTTATAAAAATCAGAAATGTCCTCCAGAAAGTTTTGCTATGTGTCAGTGGAACTAAAAATATAACAGCTACAGCTACCATTTTCTGAACACTTGGTTTCAGTTGACCAAAAAAAAATGAGCATTCTTAATTTTTTTTTTTTTAAAATAAAAAGGCTTCTGAATTGGTGACTTCTGCTTGTCTGAGCCTGGTGACACTTCATAGCACCCCTTCTTCCTCTTCTCAACATGGCCATCCTTGGCTGCATGACTACCGGGCCAGTCCAATCAGTTGCAAAATAAAAATGAAAAGGTTGATGATGTCCAGGTAGATGTTCAGGGCAGCAAAAACATACTCTTCAGGGTCCAGGGAATAATGATGGTGTCCTCCCACCATAAGCTGCACGTCCATCACCAAGTACTTGAATAAAAGGAAGTAGAATTAGCTACTTAAACTGTACATTTCTATCAAATAAGTGTCCTAAACGATCTGGAAAAAATTACTTTAGCATCAAGAGAAATATGGCAACAAGTTAGTTTGTGACCTATGTTATTCTTGCAGCCTCAGTCATGCTCCAGGTCCCCAAGTTCGCACTCTGTCAAAGTAGATGCCTCACCCCTTTCCCCCGCTTCTTCCTATGTCTCATCCAGCAACTTTGGGAGGAATAGAAGGCTAGGGTAGCCAACCATTCCAACCTGCCTGGGACTTTTGGGTGTCCTAGGAAGCCCTTCCGTCCCAGGCAAACTGGGATGACAGTCACTCTAAAAACAGGTGCCTGGGCATCCAGTATCTTAGCCTCTGTCCCCCTGGAGTCCTAACTCCTATGTAGAAGTCATTTCACAAACATTGACAGGAGAATCAGCAGCGTCGCTTCTCAGGAGAAGTTATGTGTTTGAGGACAGATAGGACAGTGGAAGAGTGAGATGGACTCGATACAGCAGTAATCCCCCCACCCTCCAGAAGCAATAGGGCTTAGGATACCACCCAAAACAAGCTAACCCATGGGGAAGCCCCAGCTAGAATTCAGACCCCTGGGAGCATTTGGGAGTATGGCTCATCTACCTGCACCCCAGCAACTCTGGTAGTTCAGCATCCACACACACACTCACACACCAAAATTCAATTTCCTTCTCCAGCTGTTTGGTGTGGGGTGGACTTTCCTTAGTCTATAAGAGTTTTCACTCTGCCTGCAAATGGGAACAGAAACACAAACATACTTCTGCATGGAAACAAACTATGCCTAAAATAGGCCACAAGAGACACAACAGAAAGCATCAATACACACAGAGCAAAAACACAGAAATAAAGAGAAATGAGCAGACATCAATTCCTTTTACAATAGAAGAAGAAATGAGAAAACGAAAATGCACATACTTAATACTGGGGTGAGTTTTTCTAACATTTGAAAAATACGACACAATGCCAACAACAACAATAAAAAGGAAGCAAAATGTGGATTGTTTTCAAGCTTGGTGACAATATACTGGGTTTGTACACCATCCTCTATACTCCTGAGTATATTTGGAAATTTTCAAAGTAAATCATTAGAAAAATAAAACCCTGAAAGACATGACACAATGAAAGTATAAAATGGAATTCCATGCAGCTCATGAAAAGAATTAATTGGACCCAGGTCTGCTAATATGTGAAACTCATTATTTTTAAGTGATAAAGCAAAGGCAGAACATGATACGTGATACAGCTACATTTGTGTAAGAAGAAATGGTGCATATGTGTAAAGACATTCTGACCAAATTCAAATAAACTGTTAACAGTCGTTCCTGCTGAGAAAGAATGATAAGAGGGAGATTTTTATTTTCATTTTACAATCTTCTATATTGTTTGAATGATTAACTACAAAAGTTTCAAAACTTATAAATAATTCTTCATTCTCTTCTTAAGTATTGGCTCTTTCAAGAAAAGTAATGTTTTCGTAGATCAGGAAGACCACTCTATTCTCCTGAGGGTGGTAGTTTAACTATGATCCCTTAAGAGGGAAAAAGTTGCTGGAGAGTTTCCAGTGAATTACTGACCCCACCTGACTCCAGACCTATCATAAGGACTTGCTAATGCACACACCACATTTTTTTTTTTATCAAAGAGAGGGAGAAAGGGACTTACAAGTGAGAATACCACAGTTCCAAGGCCAGCATACAATAGATGCACCCACTGCAAAGAGAAGGACATCGTTGTGTATTAAGAGTGGGATTTGGAATATGAAAGGGCTCACTTAGGTCACTGCTGTCAGATAAGGACCCAATATTGAGAAAGTCAAATGTGTGGGGGAATTAATCTTTTCTTGAACACAGTCAAGAGCATCCAGGCAATTCCAATAAGCAAGCAAATGAAAGCTAACCTTATGTCAAATTATATTCAAGTAAGTGCTAAACATCTCGTGTGTAGTATGGCAAGTAAAATGTAGTAGACCTACTTCACTTTTTCTCCATCCACTTATCCCTTCTGGAGAATCTGCTTCCCTCCCCTCTAATCTTGGAACAGGCAGCCCTAGGGACATAGTGATCTTTACATACCCTAACGAGAGCTAGCTGATGAGCAGTGGAAGATACCAACTCCAAAAACAGTGAGTCTGCTGACAGATCAGGAGCTCCTGATATGTGACGGGACTTAAATAGGATGTGCCAGTCCAGTCAGAAATTAATGATCAGGACGGAGGGATCCAAGCGCGGCAGCTGTTGTGTCATTTGCTGGTGCTGGAGCTACTACTGCTATGAGTAGCTATGGCCAGTCCACTCTGCCCCACAGACAAAGGAGGGTCTCTCTTCCTGGGAATCCCAGGCTTCTTCCCAACTGGGAGTTCCATGAGAGTCTCTGGGGCTTTACCTCAAGTTAATCTGAGTAGCATCTGTTTCTTGCAATAAAAACAGCCCTGATCAGAAATCCACTAGTCAAATTGCCAGGGTTGGGCTCTCTGCAGAGAGGATAAGAAAGTGGAGTAGGAACCTGAGAAAAGCATGGCATTAACTTCAGGGTGAGAAAGCTGGTTCTGGGAGGAAGGGGCTGAGCACTCCCAGTTTTCACCAAGCAAAGGCCTTGGTGGAGGTCAGAAGCCATGACACAGTCTGAGAGGCACAGTATCTCCAGACTGAGCTAAGAGTATGGAAAAACCTGATAACTGGAGTCCAAGGATTCAAAATTGCCAAAGTCAAACAAGCATGTGGACTTAGGACACAGCTCTGTCAAAGTCTTCCGTTTAAACATATGTACAGGCCAGGCGCGGTGGCTTAAGCCTGTAATCCCAGCATTTGGGGAGGTTGAGGCAAGAGGATTGCCTAAACTCAGGGGTTCAAGACCAGCCTGGGCAACTTGACAAGACCTCATCTCTACTATAAGTCAAAAAATAAGTCAGGTGTGGTAGCACGCATCTGTATTTCCAGCTTTCCAGCTACTTGGAAGGTTGAGGCAGAAGGATCTCCTGAGCCCAGCAGGTCGAGGCTGCAGTGGCTGTGGGCGTGCCACTGCACTCCAGCCTGGGCGACAGAGTGGGACTCCAACTCAAAAAAAATAAAAATAAAATGAAATAAACATATGTGCAAGGAGACTGCAGATTTTTATGAAAGAAAATGTAGAATGGTAACTAAGCTCCTATCTAGCAATAAACACCATATCTTAACTGCACCTGAGGGATACTGTAAAGACCTATGGAACCCCCCTAATAAATATGTGTGTTGTTATTACTATTGTCATTAATAATAAACAGAGTGCTGGGACCCTTTAAGACATATCTTTGTAATACCTTTGAGTTCATCCCTAAAATATAGGTGCCACTTCCCCAGCTATAAGCCTATGTAGTAATTCATAGAGCTAAACCAATTTAGGCAGAATTGTTGGTTGTATGTGTGTCTGAAGATCATCTAACAAGTCCACTTATGGCCAAAGATACTCTTCAGGACAACATTTAGATCAAGTTGGCATTGGGGTTTTAGCCAAAGATTCCCAGGTCTGATCTGAAGGAGACTCATCAAGACCCTGACTACCATCAGTGTGGTCCCATGTCTTCCAGAAGGGACACTGCTGCTCCCAGGCTAGCCCTCAGTGGACCCAGTCTCCAACAGGGCCTCCACCCAGGGAGCCTTCACACAGGGCCACTCACAGACTGACACCACCGGGCTGGACCATGCCTTTTGCTCTCCACACCCCCAGAGTCAGTCCACAAACCGTGCAATGTGATGGGAGGAGCATGGCCACCAAAGTCACCCAGATCTGGCCTCAGTGCCATCACAGCCACTTACCCCCTCTGGGACTTGTATGAATTAACTTTTCTGAAACTGTTTCCTTATCTGTAAAATAGGTGACATACTTTTCAGGAATGTTGTAAGAATTAAATATGATGCCTTGTGAAAAAAGCACATAGGACTATGTCTGATATCTAGTAAGAATCCAATGGGCATGTTAAGGAAAAAGCTGGAATTGGAAAATGAAGACCCTCCTCTAGGCTGCTGTCAGAAAAACAGCAGTCCCACCCTATGATCCAAGCAAGCCACACGTATACACAGAAGGAGCCTGCCCCACCCTGGGGGGATCACCTCAAGCCTCTCTTGGGGAAGGACAGTTGCACATAGGGTAGGAGTTCAATATTCACGCAGCCCAACAACACCCAGGAGGTGGCCACGAGGATGGGTCTCACAGACCTTTAGACATTGGGAGAGGAGTGGACTTGACAGTGGGTCCAGCTGCTGTTCTGTGCAACCCACTGAGTTTGTTCTGAGGCCAGCTTCCCACTCCCCAATCCCTGGCTGGGAGACATGGGACCACCCTGATGGTGGACTTTAGGTCGGGGACCTCCTGATAGCCTTGCTGTGTCTCCCCCAGACCAGGCCATGTATGGAACATCCCACCCAACCTCCCTCCCTCCCCTGAACTTGGCTTGGGCCATCATGGTCTGGTAGCTGTCCCAGCTGTCAACTCCTCCCCTTTCCTCTCATAGACATTTCTCCTAATAAAACCCCTGCTGGCTTATCCCCAACTCCATGTCTGCTTTTCAGAGGACCCAGACTAACAGAACTAGTCCTTCTCCTGAATTTTCAACAGTTCTCTGAGGTTTTCAAATGAGATTCCACTTACATATGAGCGTATGAATATTGAGATAATTCCATAGACCATAAGCACGAAGAGGAAAACGAACAGCACTCCATTTAGCAAGGTAAAATCCCACTAAGAAAACATAAACAACATACCAACAGCTCAGTTATCATCTGTAGGGAATTTCAGAATGTTTAGAGATGCATCTTATACCCCATAGACAGATACTGACCCTTTGCTAATACTTTACCCTGGCAAATTCAGGGAACCATCAGACCCAAACACTGGAAAACACTACATTGAAAGTGTTATATTAACTGGAATTTGCTTAAGGAGAGAGAAAAGGGTAGAAATATGGGTGAAATTATGCAGCCATGAGTTGATAATTTTTGAAACTGGATAATGAGTACATGGGGGTTCATTACACTATTCTATTTTTGTATTTATAAGAAATTTCCAGCAATAAAAAGGTACATTGAATAAGTAGGACATAAATTGGTATGTCTAATATGATCATAATTATTCATAATTTCAAAAGCATGTGCAGGCCGGGCATAGTGGCTATGCGTATTATCCCAACACTTTGGGAGGCTGAGGCAGGAGGATCACTTGAGCACAGAAGTTTGAGACCAGCCTGAGTAATACAGTGAAACCTCGTCTCCACAAAAAAAAAATGAAAAAATTAGCCAGGCTTGGTGGCACACACCTGTAGTCCCAGTTACTCGGGGGGCTGAGGCAGGATCGCCTGAGCCCAGGAGGTAGAGGCTATGGTAAGCTGTGATTGTGCCACTGCACTCCAGCCAGAAGACAGAGTGAGACCCTGACTCACAAAAACAAAAAAGCCAGACTCGGTGGCTCAACCTGTAATCCCAGCACTTTGGGAGACGAAGGCGAATGGATTGCCTGAGCCCGTGGGTTCGAGACCCGCCTGGGCAGCTTGGCAAGACCTCATCTCTACAATAAATAAATAAATAATTAGCTGGATGTGGTCATACGTACCTGTAATTCCAGCTACTTGGAAGGCTGAGGCGGAAGGATCGCCAGAGCCCAGCAGGTAGAGGCTGCGGTGGCCGGGAGTGGCCACTGCACTCCAGTCTGGGTGACAGAGTGAGACTCCAACTCACGAAAAAAAAACAAAACATGTGCATAGAAAACATTAATTGACCTCTCACAGAAACAAAGATCCGAGTATCACATGTTCTCACTCATATAATGGACCTTGAACATCCAATGTAATACTATAAGAAAATGACTGACGGTACTGGGAAACTATGGGGGGGATGGGATTAACAGTAGCAAATATCTGTCTGGGGATGGGAAAACACCTCTTATCCACAGGGTGCCTGAATGAAACGTAATTGTACACCTAACCCTTAACTGTACCCCACAAAACCATAATAAAAAATATTGATTAATAAAAAAAAAAAGAAAAAGAAAACATTAATGGAAGGAAATACGCTAAAGTGTCAACTGGGTATCTTTTTCACATTTATATGCATATATTCTCACAAAAATATATACTAAGCTTTCAAAAAATTACTGCCAATTACTTTTTTGATATTTGGAAGTTTATTAATGTGATTTTTGTTTTTGCCTTTGACCCAATTGAGCCTGAGGAGATTAGAGTTTTCTTAAAGAAAGAGAATAGTCATCTTCTGGCATAGATAGATGATAGATAGATTGCAGATAGATAATGCAGCAAAAGATGAGCCTTGAATCCAAGTTGTCTTCTTGCAAGAGCATTTTCCTAATTCCTTTATTTCTTTCCCTGCTCCTGCCCTTCACACCAAGAGAACAGTGTAAATGAGAGCTTCCTGAGTGTGACTCTCAGAGCAGCAACAGCCCCATGCAAAAATTCAAGTCGCCAGTCCTCCCACATCTCCTGCTGTCACAGCTCAGGGTGGGGCACAGCAGTCTGTGTTTTAATGAGCCCTCCAGGCCAATTCCAGTGCATGACAGACTTTGTTAGAGCTATGTTTTCACTACAGTAGCCACCAGCCATATGTGGCTATCCAGCACTTGAAATGTATCAAGTCAGAATTAAGAAGAACATTAAGTATAAAATAACACAACCATATTTCAGATTTCAGTTCAAGAAAATGCAAAATATACCATTAATATTTTGGTTATATGGATTACATGTTGAAATGGTAACAGGGTGTATTAGGTTAAATAAAATATACTAAAATTAATCTCACCTGTTTCTTACATTTTAATGTTATTACTAGGAAATTTAAAATGATACGTAAGACTTGCATTTGTGGCTCACATTATATTTCTCCTGGGCAGCACAGGTCTAGAGAGCTGTAAGTCAGCTTGTGACAGTGAAACCCTATGTACTGCTCCTCGTTGGCAGAAAGATGTGACATGAGGAGGGACCTTTAGGGCCAGGGTACTGCCAGTGGGGAGCCCTGTCAGTGCTGTCCAGGCCCAAAAGAGAACAGGTCCCAAGTCACATCAGTGGTGGCCTTTCAGCATCACAGGTCCACAGAGCTTGCCATGACTTGACGGCCGAGGTGTCAACTCATTTAAAAACAGCAATGGACCATGGCATCTCTGCCTCCTGCCTCTCCGTGGCCAGTACCAAGAGCCCACACAAACCACACCCTCGCCCCAAATACCCAGAGTTCACCTTAGATACAACAGTGGGGAGAGACTGAGAGGTTGAGCATTATGTATCCACATGATGTCATCATTTAGTCCAAAGGAATTGTTTCAACAATGGGTCTGGTCTCATTTAAACCAAATAGACATTGCGTTCATTCCCCTACTAAGTGGGTGATGGATTCATGGGAAGGCCCAACTCGTAGTGTGCCTCCACCCCTCTGTGGCCCTTGGCTTGTGGTTAGAGTGGTTCTTGCAACACCCACCACAAAAATTAATCAGGAAAAAATGTCCAATTGAACATTAGCTCAGCTGTCTTCAAAGTTGTCAGTTCAATTGCAGTATCCAGAAACATCTTTAAAATACTTTCCAACGTAATGGTTACTCTCTGAACCCAGGTCATAGGTCATCTGTAACTTTTTTTTTTTTTGAGTTGGAGTCTCACTCTGTTGCCCAGACTGGAGTACAGTGGCCGCTCCCGGCCACCACAGCCTCGACCTGCTGGGCTCCGGTGATCCTTCCACCTCAGCCTTCCGAGTAGCTGAAACTACAGGTGCACGCTACCACGCCCGGCTAATTTTTTTGATTTATTGTAGATGTGAGGTCTCACCATGTTGCCCAGGCGGGTCTCGAACCCGTGGGCTCAGGCAATCCACTCACCTCAGCCTCCCAAGGCATGGGATTACAGGCTGAGCCACTGAGCCCGGCTGGTCATCTGTAACTTACCCACAGGCTTTTAAAAAAGTACTCCTGGCTAAAACATGGAACCAACCATGCTGCCCATCGAAAGAAGACTGGGGAAAAAATGTGGTACATATACACAATGGAATATTATGCAGCCCCAAAGGAGGACAAAATTATGAACTTCACAGTAATTTGGCTGGACTTATACTGAGTGATACTATAAAACTGAGTGATCTATCACAGAAACAAAGAACTGAGTGTCACATGTTCTCACTCATAAGTGGACCTGGAACAATTATCATAATACTATAAGAAAAGGATTGTCAGTAGTGGGAAATTGTGGGGTGAGGGGATTGGCAGTAGTGGGATTCTGCCAGGGGAGAGGCGGGCACACCTCATCAACAAGGAACCCGCATAATGAACATTTGTATACTTAACCCTAAATTGTACCCTCAAAAAATAAAATAAAATACATTTTTATATTAAAAAAAAGTATTCCTGGCATTTTAGAGAACTTTAAATAGCTTAATGCGTCTATGCATTTAGCATGGCCCCCTTACTCATTGCTGGGAGGCCTGTCTACTTACACATAGGCTGGTTTCTACAAACAATCAGTTTTGAGATGGCAAATACTTATCTGATAATGAAGTAAAGTTGAATCTCTCACTTTGGGTACAATTTGACTAAATATCTCGTAGACTCTTCTGGTTCTCTGATGATTCTTCCTTTTTCCACCAGGAAAAGGCTAACATTCTGTATGTGTATGAGACCCTCCTTGTGACGTGTGCTAAAAACTTAGGAAATACACTCCTTTCTGTTTAAGTTATTAAACTGACTAAGGAAAGTGACCAGAACTGAAAAGAAGGGCCGTAGAGGACACTTCATCAAATCCCAAGGAATACCTGTGACTGGAGCAACTCCGAGTTATCTCATACTTGAGCAGGTATTACTCAGAGATAGGCGATGTTTTCTGGGACATCATGGTGCTCTGGTGCTGGATGAACTACACAACTTTTCATTTCTAAATACCCTGTGTCCGTCAGAGTCCCAGGAGGGAACAGATGGCACATTCAAATAGGATGACTGGTGGAGGGATATTTGTACGGGAACTATCCAACGTAATGTTTACTTGTGTATATGTGGTACATATACACAATGGAATATTATGCAGCCATAAAGGAGGACAAAATTATGAACTTCACAGCAACTTGGATGTGTCTGCAGGGACCAGAAGGGGTCAGGCAGCAAGTGAGGCTGGCGGCCAGATGGCTCTCACCAACTCCAGGCCCAAAGGGAAAAAGAGAGGGGCAAGACAGGAACACAGAAGGTTATACTGAGTCGGCCACTTTGAGAAAGGCAGTGAATTTTGGTAAGGAACACAGCTAGCCCATGAGGAACTTGTCGGAAGGAAGCAGCCATGGGAATAGATAGCTCTCTCCTCCCTTCCTCTAGTCTCCAGCTGGGGCTCCCCACTGGCCAAAGCCCCCAGAAAGCCAAAGGGACGGGGCCATGATGTGAGGCCCAGAGGACAGAGGACAGTGGTGGTATAGGGAAATGGGTCAGGGGCACGAAAGAGCACATTTGGCACAACCCCCCCATGACAGAATCTGTCTCATAATACGTACTTTTGTTTGTAGAGCAAATAAAGTGAGTGCCAGCGTCACCGTTGCGGTTGCTGCCGCGGCCCACAACACTTCGTCAGCTTTATAGAAACTGAAACCAGAGGCAGTGGTTATTGTTCACATACAACCCAGGGAAGCAACACAAACAAAATAAGTGTGCATCAGAGACTTACATGGTTACGGCTCCTAGCAGCAGACCTTCAAGGACTGTCTAAAGACAAAATTCACAACAATCAGAAGCCTGCGCCTTGAGCGTGAGGCCGAGGGAGGCCTAGAATCCGGGCGGGGGATTTGAGGTGTGTGCCGGGCAGGATCTGAAGAGCAAGAGGGAATACAGATGCCCCTGGTGCATATGGCCACAGGGGGACTATGGGAACGCACGGCAGAACTGGGCATGTTCTTAACATTCTCTCTAGGACTGACAAGAGAAGATTCTTTTATTAGCAGAAATTGAGCATGATAGTAACTTTAACATACTCAGTGAATTAAATACATATTAGTTATGAATGTGGAAACCCAGGGGAAAGTTCACATGTGGACCACATTGTCATTAATCAGATGGGGCAGCCCACTCAGCGTCGTAACGTTTTCAGAACAGGACATGCTATTTCTACCAATGAGTCATCAACAGTGGGGGCACTGACGCTTTCGGGGTGTCTAGGCAAGAAGCCTCAAACCTCAGGCATGGAATGAACTGGGGTCTTCTCAGGGCTAGGAGTCGGAGCTGGAGGACAGTTATGGCTGGCGAGGAGGCGGGCTGCACTAACCGGGGGACTCTTGGCACCCAGTTGAGCAGAAGCTGGGGACAGCCGGGACAGGGGACAGCTGAGGCTAGGGGACAGCTGGGACTGGGAGGCAGCTGGGGCTGAGTGTCCACAGGCAGGCAGGCCCCACAATGGGACCAGAAAAGGCTCCGAGGCTGGGCCCAGGCCCAGCAGGTTGCAGTCATGCACAGTTGCAGTGGTTGCAGGACACAAGAATAGTCCTCAGCCCGCAGGCCACTCTGCCAGAGAGAGTCCAGGCACTGGGGGGACCCACGGGGCCATGGGAAGAGCCAGGAAAGAACCCCCTAATGTCAGAGAGTAAAACTGAGGGGACGTCCTAACCAAAGGACCAAGAGGGGCTTTGAATGCCTGCAGGCCAGCGAGGGCAGGGAGCAGCCCGATGAAAGGAACCGCCCCAAGCCAGCGGCCCCTCTGCAGCTCGCACACCCAGCGGGTCATGGCCTGACTCTGCTTTGTTAAACCCAACTGAGGCGGTCTTCCTTTCCATTACAGGAAGGAGGGGTCTCGGCCCCACACAGGGGTATTTCAGGAACACACTTCTGCCAATCATTCTCCCAAGATTGATTTTCTTCCTTCTCTGCTGGCTTAGGTGCTTCACATTTCTCCAGCCCCAGCAGCTCATGCAAGGGATGTGTGCATGGCAGACACAAGGGCAGGTGTATGTGGCCATGTGGTGTGTGAGAGTGTGTGTGAGTATGCGATGTGTGTGATGTGCATGTGTGTGGCTGTGTGTGTGGGGGGATGACTGTGTGTGGTGTGTGTGTGGGTGGCTGTGTGTGGTGTTTGTGACTGTGTGTGGTGTTTGTGACTGTGTGTGTGGTATGCATGTGACTGTGTGTGGTATACGTGTTTGGTGTGTGTATGTAGTATGTGTGTGACGGTGTGTGACTGTGTATGTGGTGTGTGTGACTGTGTGTGGTACGTGTAAGTGTGTGTGGTATGTGTATGACGTGTGTGACTGTATGTGGTGAGTGTGTGGTATGTGTGCGAGACTGTGTGTGGCATGTTTGTGACTGTGGTGTGTGACTGTGTGGTATGTGATGTATGTGGTGTGTGACTATGTGGGTTGTGTGTGACTGTGTGGTACATGGTGACTGGATTGTGTGTGTGACTGTGTGTGGGGTGTGTGACTGTGTGTGGTGTGTATGTGTGGTGTGTAACTGTGTGTGGCATGTTTGTGATGTGTGGTGTGTGACTGCGTGTACTATGTGTGGCATATGTGGTGTGGGGATGTGAATGGGGTGTGTGAGCGTGTGCACACAATTGGGAGGCACTAGAAAGAGAAGGGAGTGGGAGAGTCAGTAATTCCAAACCGGAAGTGGGATTTGGTTTCGGGAAGTGTGGAAGAGTGAGCCAAGTCTGACCCATGATTCAGGAGCTCAGGACATGGGCTCGAGGGGCCCAAATTCCACAGGACAAAAAGTTGCCTTCAGTGGATGCATTTCCCTTCAACTCCTTTTCAGACATGGCTTTGTTCCATAACCCTTGGGCATGACATTAGGTATAAAAAATATTGCTCAGTTGGGCTCGGTGGCTCAGCGTGTAATCCTGCGCTTTGGGAGGCTGAGGTAAGAGGATTGCCTGAGCCCAAGGGTTCGAGACCTGCCTGGGCAACTTGGAGAGACCTCATCTCTACAATAAATCAAAAATTAGCCGGGCATGGTAGCATGCATCTGTAGTTCCAGCTCCTTGGAAGGCTGAGGCAGAAGGATCGCCGGAGCCCAGCAGGTCGAGGCTGCGGTGGCCGGGAACGGCCACTGCACTCCAGTCTGGGTGATAGAGTGAGACTCTAACTCAAAAAAAAATGTTGCTCATTCTTTGCCCCTCTGTGATACATCCTCTCTTAAGCTGTTACTTACTTTAAGATAAACAGCAAAACCTTAGGGATGAGAGAGAGCTTCCTTGGAGACCAATAACTCTTACCTCTTCTTGTAATCACCATTGACACCATTTAACATTTTAAAATTAAAAGCCCAAACATATCTGGTTCCCCTCTCTCTGCCTACCCTGCTTCCAGATCCGAGTCTCTCTATGTCTGCCTGTAGCCCCAGCCCCTCCTGAGTGGGGACTTACTCTACCAGTGCAGGAACGGGAACACTCACTTGCCGACCTGGGCCATGGGCAGGGTCCAGGCCAGCTTAGAAAGGCTCCTTGAAGCTCTGGCAGCTGAGGAAAGCCAAAATTTGGGCAGAAGACAACCAGTCTTCTGCCTCAGGAGGAAGTAACTTTTCCCAACATGTGCTCACAGCAGACGCTGCGTGGTGTGCCTGCTGAGAGGCCCACCACCAGGCACGTGTTTTTGCTTGCTCTGACCACCAGAACCACATCCAGGAGCCCGACATTCCAGCACAAAAGATTTAGTGCATTGTGACACTAAGCTAACTACTATCTTATTTTCCTTCCCTCAGATCTCCTCTTTAGTTGATCTATCATCTCATATTGTGGATATTTTTATAAGCTACCTCAAATCTGGTTTGGAACCAGATGAGGGATAGATCAACTGTAAGTAAATCGTCACATGAAAAGAATGCTTAACACTGCTTGGCATGAAATGCGAACCTTCCTAAGTGAATCATTGACTGATACTATCCTGAATCATACTGGGGTCATTCCAGGCTTTCCCAAGAAGAGCAAAACACCCTAGGAATTACTATCAGTGAGCTTCAGAGAGACCACAGCCTCGGGGAGCTGAGAGTTTGGCCTGTTTTGTTAGGTTTTTTGTTTTGTTTTGTTTTTAGAGATGAGGTCTTCTATGCTGCTCATGCTGGGTTGAAGTGATCCTCCTTTTTTTGGTCTCCCAAAACTCTGGGATTACAGGCATGAGCCAGCCTGACTCTGTAAAGTGAGAGAAAGAGAGTTGAGGATGGGAAAGTGAGTCCTTGAGGAGAAGCCTGTGACCTTCTGGGGAGCTAAGCCCTGGGTTGGAATGTGGGTAAAATGATAGAAATTAAAGTATGCTTCAGAGGAAAACTAGAGTAGGTGCTGACAAGGTTTACTTACAAAGAATCCCAGGAGAATGTAATTTGCAGGCACTTTGCGGCGGATATCCCCACAGCACGCAAGTATGATAAGTATAACAAAAAATCCTGGGCTGGAGGATAATTTAAAGCCATATGTTATTTGCTTCTAATGATTACATCACATGACACACAGAGATAGATAGCTAGAGATGCAGATATATATTGTTTTATGATATTATCTCATAATAAGTATAAAATAAACAAAAATGTTTATTACCTTTACCTCTTTTTTTAGTTTTTAAAATTAACTCTTCTCACTGTCATCTACAGAGAGCTTATGGGGCATTTAAGATTTTTAAATTCTGAAATAATAATAGAGTCACAAGAAGTTGGAAAGGGATAGAGAGGGCCCATGAAATCTTCCCTTTGCTTCCCCCAGTGGTTACAAGTTTAGAGTTATGATACCACAACCAGTAGTTTGATGTTCGTACAGTGTGCATATGCAGTTCTGTGCCATAGAACCATGAAACAAATCTGTGTGTAGACGCATGTAACCATCATCCAATCAAGATTCAGAACTATCCCACCAAGAAGTCACCCACAAAGACCTCCTGCCTGCTACCCCACTCCTGCAGTGTGAAGTTGCTAGTGCCAAGATGGAGTCACTTACGTCAGACCCAAGCAAAGTGCAGAGGTCATGAAGGAGGAGGGTTCTCACACTCATCGTGTCTGAGGTAAGAACCAGCACAAGAAATTCCTACACGTCCTGCACACATGCCTGCAGCAGGGCTTGTGCCAAGAAACTCCTCAAGGTCACAGCGTTCCAGCAAAACTACTTTCACAAGAACACTTCTTGGCAACGGCTGTCTCCACAAGAGGGTCAGCACAGCCCCTGCAACAAGCCCTGGGACCAGGGATCTTTATTTCAAAGTAACTTGCACAGCCCTGTACTGCTTGCTCTTTCACAGTTTCCCCTCATACCCACCTTCCTGGACCCTCCTGATCTGTCATGGCTGATGTGTCCCGATTGCAGTGCCCCTGCCGCTCCGAGATATACTCTGTCATTCACTGAGGTTGACAGTAGTGACACTCACACCCACATGCTTAACCCTTACTCCTGGCAGCCACTAATGTGTTTTCCATCTCTATAATGTTATCATTTCAAGAATATTATCCCTTCATCTCATTTTTAAAAGTGAGAGAATCTCAGGCAACAGCCAGTAGAAAAACCACGTTTTATTAAATTCAGTGATACTTACAAGAGTGCATAGGTGAACCAGGGGTTTGCAAGCACCCAAGCTCTTAAAGCGTCCCTAGTTTAAAAAAAAATTAATATAGTTTTACACAATAAATTGTGTATTCTGCTAACTAATGTGATATTAAGTAGAAGTAAAGCAATATCATGAGAAGAAAGGGGGAAACCTTAACTGATTAATAATAACACATGGGGAGTAAAACAGTGAAACATTCTTTTTTCTTAAAATAGATATATTCATAGTAAATTAAAAGTTAAATTTAGATAAATGCAAATGTCCTAGTAAAGGTTTTTATTTTAAAAAATACTGAGTGTGATATGTGTGCAAAGCAAAGGAAATGAACTTCTCATATATTTGTTTCATAAATATAGATTTTCATAGGATGTGTTTAAGCCAAGATAGATCATAGTCTCTTAAGTAATTTCTGAATTTAACAGTGTTCCAGTCTCCAGGGTCTCCATGATCTTACCTTTTCTCCTTTATCCAGTTTTATCTGTGGAAATAGTTCAGGAAAATTTAAAAGAAAAAATAAAGAAGAAGAAGAAGATAGTGCCCAAAATAAGAGTAAGAAAAAAAGTTCTTGGTTTAGGGAGTTAAAGCAAAATTCTAGAAATCTACTATCACTTTCGTCTAGGAGTAGCCTCAGAAAGACAATTCTATAGAAACAGTATTTCTGACTGGGTGCTGTGGCTCACACCAGTAATCCAGCACTTTGGGAGGCCAGGGCAGGAGGATTGCTTGAGTCCAGGAGTTTGAGGCTAGCCTGGGCAACATAGCAAGACCTTGTCTCTACAAAAAAAAATTTTTTTTTTAAATAGCCAGGCATGGTGGCATGCACCTGTAGTCTCAGTTACTTGGGAGACTGAGGCAGAAGGATTGCCTGAGCCCAGGAGATTGAGGATGCAGAGAGACACTGTACTCCAGCCTAGTGACAGAGTGAAATCCTGGTTCAAAAAAAAAAAAAATTAGCTGGGCTTGGTGGCTCAGCCTGTAATCCCGCACCTTTGGGAGGCTGAAGTGAGTGGATTGCCTGAGCCCGCAGGTTCGAGACCCGCCTGGGCAACATGGCGAGACCTCATCTCTACAATAAATCAAAAAATTAGCCGGGCGTGGCAGCGCACGCCTGTAGTTCCAGCTACTTGGAAGGCTGAGGCGGAAGGATCGCCAGAGCCCAGCGGGTAGAGGCTGCGGTGGCCGGGACCAGCCACTGCACTCCAGTCTGGGTGACAGAGTGAGACTCCAACTCAAAAAAAAAAAAAAAGAAAGAAAGAAAAAAAGAGAAAAGAAATATATTATCTCTTATGAATGATTAAGAAAAAGAAAGTATCTTTAAATGATCAAAATTAAATCAAGCTGATTCAATAAGAATTAATGTGGACAACTTAGCACTTAATTCTACATGAATAATAAAGACTTACCAGAATACAAACATGCTGATAATTGCCGCAGTGACCAACAACTGAGTTGACAGGATGAGGAATACTTTTACAATGAAAGCTGAAGAGACAGAAGCATTGTTTTTATGACACAACATTCAATAGTAAAAATATAAATGTAATTACCTATTTTTGATACTTCAAAGAATTTTCCCTCTGATTCTTTGAGGATGGGAGGAGCAGTGCTAGCTCATAGTCAGCAAATGGATAACAACAAAAATACAGCTCAGCAAAATTTTCAAAACTTTTTTCAGTGAACCTCAGGGTTTATCCATAGGAGCTCCAAATTCTTACAAACTTGAAGGTTTAACTCCTTCTTATGCACACCTCGTCCTCCTTGCAAGCTCCTGAAGGTCTCAGGATATCTCAGGCCCCTCCCCAGGGGCTCAACTACCCTACACCTCACACCGCAGCAACAGGAGGGAGGCGTTCAGCCCTTGAGAGGGGCCGGGCTGCAGAGTTCCGGAGCTTTTCCATGATATTTCTCTCCAGCTCGGTTCCATTCTGCTTCCTGATGAAGAAGCTAGTAAACCTGGTGGATTCCAATGAGGTCAGAGCGCCTCGCAAACAGCAAGCCAATGTGCAGGGCATAGTAGGTCCTGACTTTCTATTGCACAAATTTTCGGGTCCCTCTGAATAAGCCACTGGCAATGACACTTTACTCCTTCTGTGACTTTACCCCAATGTAAAAAGGAAAAAAAAATGAAATAAGGCTGCTTACAGTTAACTTATAGAATCATTAACTCGGTTTTTTTGCTGAACAGTTTCCGTGCTTGGGATATATGACAACGAAGGGATGAGGACTGAGCTGTTTTGTTTTTGCCGGCCTCTGACATTTTTTAAAAGACAGTTCAGGGCCGGGCTCAGTGACTCAGCCTGTAATCCCAGCACTTTAGGAGGCTGAGGCAAGTGGATTGCCTGTACCTGTGGGTTTTAGACCTGCTTGGGCAACTTGTTGAGACCTTGTCTCTACAAAAATAAAAATAAAAAAGTAGCCGGGCATGGTAGTGTGCGCCTATAGGTCCAGTTACTTGGAAGGCTGAGGTTGGAAGGATCGCCAGAGCCCAGCAGGTTGACGCTGGGGTGGCCATGAGTGTGTCACTACACTCTAGCCTGGGCGACAGAGTGAGACCCCAACTCAAAAAAAGAAAAAACCAGAACATATGTGCACAGAGGTGTGTGCTGCCTGCATTAAAATACTCATTTAGCTAACATTAATATGGCATCTACTGTGTAGCAGGGAGTGTGAGGGAATGAGTATTAAATGTGGCCCAGACTTATAAGAATAGGTATATAGATCAATGGAATAAAATTAAGAGTCCAGAAATAAACCCTTATATTTAAGGTCAACTGATTTTTTTACAATCAATGGCTTAAAAATTCAATGGGGCACCAGGTGCAGTGACTCAATCCTATAATCCCAGCACTTTGGAAGGCCAAGGCGAGAGGATTACCTGAGCCCACAGGTTCGAGACCAGCCTAGGCAACGTGGCGAGGCCTTGTTTCTACAATAAATCAAAAAATTAGCCGGGCATGGTGGTGTGCATCTGTGGTTTTAGTTACTTGGAAGGCTGAGGCAGAATGATTGCCCAAGCCCAGTAGGTCGAAACTGCGGTGACTGTGAGTGTGCCACTGCACTTCAGCCTGGGGGGCAGAGTGAGACTCCAACTCAAAAAAAAGGAAGAAATTCATTGGGGGAATGAATGGTCTTTTTTTTTTT